TTCTATTCTATTCTATTCTATTCTATTCTATTCTATTCTATTCTATTCTATTCTATTCTATTCTATTCTATTCTATTCTATTCTATGAAGTTCTAAGATCATCTTTCTGCAGAAGAGTGCTATACCTGAAACACCGCTGAATCAGATTAAATCTGGGTCGGATTTTGTAGAAAACATCTGATCGGGAATGAATCTGTACATTAGAAAGAAACAATACAAAGCCTCACTTGACCCAAGCCTGGAGTAGAGTGAGCCTTCAAGGAGCAAAACAACAGTTGTGTCCACAAATCCTGGAGCATGTGACTGGCTTTCTGCACTCAATGCCTTCTGTGGCAGCTGGAGTTTGACAGCTGGAACAGCTTCACTGAGTGCGCCAGAGGTTAGGGTAGAGACTTACAGAAAGCCTATTCAGTGAATTCTTGTTTGGTCTTTAACAAATATCCCCATTCTTCCTTAGAGCAGCTCATGTTATGTAATTCTTCTCATAACAACATTATGAAGGCTGAGATTTTTTTCATCATAATGACCTAATTTATTCCACAGCAGAGTTGGGGCTATGTCTTGGTTTAATCACTATACCAGTCTTGCCCACCTGAGAAAGGGATGATTGGAGTTGGAAGTTCCCAGCCTACTACATCCAGCAGAACGGGCATGTGCAGATCCTGCCTTAAGCAGTTGCATCTGGAGAGTTGCAATTGCAAGATGGGTGGCCGTATTTATTGACTTTAAGTATGAATTATTTAAATCAAAGTCCAAGACAGTTGGAGTGCAATAAGTGAAAGAAACACTGTATGACATCCCTTGTATATTCATATTATATATGTTACAAGGCAGCTTTCTCAAACCAATGACCCTGGATGTGTTGGACTTCAATCCCCATCATTCCAAGCCAATTAATTGATGAGTTCTGGGCTTAATTTACCAGAGGGATCATAGTGAGGACCTTCTCTGCTTATAATACCCGTATTAAGCATTTAGTGTTTGATTTATAACAGTTTGCTTAGTGACCATCCCAAGTTAAACAGGTAGTGTTTGACTAATAACAGTTTGCTTAGTGACTGTCCAAAGTTACAATGGCACTGAAAAAAGTGACTTATGACCATTTTTCACACTTATGATCGTTACAGCATCTCCATGGTCATGTGATCAAATTTGAGATGCTTGGCAGCTGACTCATATTTATGACAGTTGCCGTTTCCCAGGGACCACCTTGCGATCACCTTTTGCGGCCTTCTGACAAGCAAAGTCAATGGGGATGGCAACTTAATAAAGATGGCAATGATTCTGCAGTTCTGTGATAACTGTGGCAAGAAAGGTCGTAAAATGGGGGCAAGAGTCACTTAACCACTGTCTCGCTTAGCAACCGAAATTTGGGGCTCAATTGTGGACATAAGTCGAGTACTACCTGCATCAGGTATAATTAGGTATAACTTCTACCCAATCAACATTTGGAGGGGAAGGTTCTGCCCTCCGGAAAACAGGCGAAGAATGATCCGGGAAAGAGGAGGGAGAGTGAGGCAAGGCGTGCCGAGAGGCTTTTTACTTGTGGAAAGGCGCAGCAAATGCCAGCGGGCACCAAAGGAGAGGACAAACACACCGGCCCGACCTCTTGGCAAGCTCACGTGGACCGAGCTGTCCTCGTGGTCGTGGGCGAAAACACCTCTCGGTGGAGCCAGCGAGGCACCACCGGTCCTAGCCTTCTCTAACTCCCGTTTCGCTTCTTCTTCCCCGGCAGGCGTCGGGATTCTGTCAACTCCCGCGGCCGCCCAGTTGAGCTCAGCGATTCCTCGGCGCCGAAAAAAAAAAAACCAAACAAATAACCCGGACCAGACAGGCGGGCGGGCGGGCGGCGGAGTGGCAAAGCCAGGGCCGAGCGAAGCAACAACCTTCGGACAGGAAAGGAAGTGCGTCTTGTCCTCTGGCAGGGCGCGAAGAGCTTTCTGCGGGCTTCGACTTGGGAGGTAAGCGGCCGCCCGCAGACCAAGTTCGAGGGAGCGAGCGAGCCCCGCTAAGCACTTCCTGAGCAGCCGAGCCAAACCGAGACGGCGCGCGCGCCGATGAAGACGGGACCTTAAGCCAGGCCCCCAGGACTCAAAGGGTCCTTCGGGAGCTCAGGCCACGACCGCTCGTGGGATGCCTTCGAGACTAACCCCGGCTTTCTCGCCCTAAAGGTACGAACGGCTGAGCTGAACGGCTCCTGCTCTCCCTCAGCCCGCTTTTCGCGCGTGTCCCGGGATCCCCTCCCCGCCCCCGCTGACCCCCTTCCTCAGGTTTTTGACGGGAGAGAAAAAGGACGAGGCGCAGAAGGCGGACTCTTGAATGCCCCCTTTGGACGGGCCGAAGAGGAGGCCAGTAAAGGAGAAGTTTGGTGGCTCCTCGTTCGGCGAAGAGTCCCCGAGGAACACCAATTCTGGTTTAAAATGTCTGGGTTCTTCCAAAGAATCCCGTTAGAAGGCTTTTGGAGCGGCTACGGACGGGTCTCTCTCTCTCTCTCTCTCTCCATAATCTCTCTGGCTGTCCGATCAGTTGAGGGTGGGGGGGAAGGCGAGCAGTGCTTTTGGCAAGATCAGGAGCAGGAAAGTTTTTGTGTGGTGCAAGGGACAAAGTTGCAGTCTTTGGGAAGGCGGAGGGTGGGAGAGGAGCTGCGCATTCTCTCTCTCTCTCTCTCTCTCTGCCGGATATCGATGCTTCCGTCTCCTGAGCGACAAAATAAGCCAGTGTCCCGTGCAGGGAAACATGTCCCTCCGACAACGGGGCAAGGCGGGAAGGGAGCAGCGCCGCAGACTCGATCCCAGTAAACAAGGGCCAATCAGGACTTGGAAGGTCCCGCGCTGGCGGGCCGGAGCTCAGCGACAGGTGTTTTCCCCAAAGACTCGAGGTTGATCCCTGCAAAGGGGAGCCAGTGGTGCTCCCCTCCGCTTACACCTCGGGCGCGCCTGGCAGGAGCGGGTTAATTTTGACTGGCGTGTTCAAATTCCTAGCCAGAAACACTTCGCCCTTGTTTCCAGATTACCCTCCACCCCGGGACAGGAAAAACTGGAACAGAGGTGCGAGGATGGCTGCGGTTGCTTTTGGGAGGCGGCTTGTCGGTTGTTTTGCGCAATTGCGAGCTTGTATTACAGGAGCTGGTGCCCCTCGGGAGCACTTAGCTGGATGGGTGCCCTCCTGCAGCCGGGGCCACATGGCAGCTCCTCCTCCTTTCAGTTTAATGCTATTTATATAACAGCCCAAAGCGCCTTCCTCAAAGAAACATTTAATTGACCGTGCATTGATTCTTCCTGGCTGAAATGGGTGAATTGGAACTACTGGAGACATTTGTTTGAGAAGGTACCACCACCCTGTTTGTGATGTTTGAAATGTGGTGCCCAGTTTGCTTGTTGAAGCTTCTGTGCACTGAGACCAGAAATTGCTTCCTTTAGCTTACTGGTGTGGCTGGTACTCATCAAAAGTTTACATAATTTTCTTTCTCCTTACTTAGAAATGCCCAAGGGATTTAATTTGGAATTTCTATATGAAAAACCTGTGGTCTATCAGCCTTTGATGTTTCTGCCACTAAATAATTAATATTCATGTGAGCACCAATACATTGAATCTCTTAGAAGTTGTGGGAACTTCTTCCCCATCTAATTTTAGGCTTCATGAAGACTTCATCAAAAGTGTTGGTCCCCAAATCCTGTCCACCAGCTGGAGGAAAGGCAGGAGTACAAGAAGATGGTGGGCAAATGTGATTTCAATTGATCTTTATAGCTTCAAATTGCATGGAAATGCTTTCCATTTCTGTTAACTTTGCATTCTTTCTTGTGGTTTTTGTGATCTTGATGGATCGATTGATTTGAGTGCTAGCCACATAGAATGACAAATGCTTTCATACTACAGCTAGGTGCAGAAAACACATTTAAATCAGGTCACATAGCAAATTTGTACAGCTTAATAATAGTTCATTTGTTAGCAACCAGCCCTTTTCATTAGTTTATTACTCAGCAAATTGAGCAAGTCCTGAGTCAGAACTTGGGAGAAATGAGTGAGACCTTGTCTATATTGTTGCCTCAACCAATGTTAAACATGACTACTTCTGTGTAAAGTTTTGCAGGCAGAACTACTTTACCAGGTGTTTGGATGTGCTGCTTCATTTTATGAATAAATTTGGCAACATGTTGGATTTCCTTCTGTATTATCTCTTCAGTTGATATTCAGCTGATGAAAATGTCACTGGAAATGGTATCAAAGATGCTAAATGCTTTCTGGAAGCCCTCACCCCCATCTAATTAAATGTGATGAGTTGGAAAAATTCTCCAAAGGATATTTCGTGTTTAGGAACTGATGTGCATAGCCTTCTGGCTAAAGCTATAATTCACAAAACGCCTGATATATGGGGAAAGCTCATATCTTTTAAAAGCACCAACTCTGTCAGCCTATATTTTGCATTATATATGGAGTTATAATCTCTGTTGCCAACTTTCAGCCACTTCTTGGAATTATTGCCACATTCTTTCTTCTACAAGTCACTACGTGTTTACTTAGGAATAAGTCCCATAGAAACTAACAGGCTTTCCTTATGATAAAATATGCATGGAATTCCACTCCCAGTTTCTGGTTGCCGCCAGCCTTTTACCTGCTTCTTTTTCTACTCTGCAATATGCCACTTTTCTCCTTGGATGCACTATTTTACTACAGGGAGTAAAAATATATATTGGTTGCAGCCTAAGACTAAAATAGGCCAATTAACCACTGAACTTAAAGTATAATTTCTGAGCCATGCCCATCTGACATATTTTATTATATTTGTTTCTCAGGTTATCATATTAACCTTTACAGAAAGGGTATAATTTTTGAGTTCTTCAGTATTACCTAGTCCCCAAAGCATTACACAAATATTGTTGTTGAGTTAAAACAAATGAGGTCTTTAAATGCATTTACTTCATTTAAATTAATGTGAAAGGTTAGTTAAATAATGTGTTGTCCCTTCTTTCTCCTGTCTTCACTCACTCTTCTGCAGTATGCCCTGCACATGCCAATGAAAGATTAAATTAGCCCGTCCCAAATGCTTGTATCTGAGCTTTATAACAGTACATATAGTACCGTCTTTCAAGTGAGGCCCTGTCTCTTCCTGGGTTTCTCCAAGCTAAATCCCAATATAGCAATAGACTCTGCAAGTTTTCCACCCTCATTAAAAGGAAAGGGAAGACACAAGCTAAAATTAGAATTGTATAGAAAATTTCTCTGCAGTTCAGTATTGTGTTATTATTCTAATAAGCCTCTGATTTGCAGACATACTGTAATTTCTTCAGTTTTACTGTGACATATTAAGCTACCTTTAAGCTAAAAAGGCTGTTGTTACATAAAAGTTAGGGCTTATAGTTTCTGGAATGGATGGATGGTTGAGGCCAAACTAAGCCAAGCTCATAGATTTTGATATTGATATATGGAGGAATGGGGTGGTTTTTCTAGTGGTTAGAATGAATGTACAGAAGGAGGTAAAGTTTGTTCTTGATTTAAAACATGCTCTGAAATCTAAGCAGTTGTTACAGAAAGTATATGCTTTGTTAAAAGTTGCTTTTAAAAAAATCTAAAACTCCTTCTGCTTTATCACTGTAAAAGATTTTGGAATTTGCAAGGTTGTTACTTATGTTAGTCTATGCAGCAAAAATCACAAGATGGCACACGTAAGAATTAGCATATATATTATCCCATAAACTTTAAAAGGAAAAGTTTTCAAATAACTCATTGAAATCTGCTGTATAAAATGAATTTTGCTACCTTATTAAATAACATTTTGAAACCTACTAGCATCTATTATCTGAATAGGTACAGTACAGTATTCAAAAGTCAAGAACCCTTGAATCTAGCTTGATTCTTGGTGACTACATAAACATTTCCACATAGTTAGCAAATGATACAGGATTCACAGACCATTACAGCAATAAAATAAATTAAGTCAAGTCAAGGGGTTTCTTTCCCAAACCCCAAAAACTTTAACCTTAGACTTTCTACGATTGACCTCATCCCTTTCCTAAGAGGTCTGTAGGCGGCATGCATAAGCGCGCCAATGTGCCTACCGTCCCTGTCCTATTGTTTCTTTTATTTTTCTTATATGTATCCATGTATTCATAACTAGGTTTTTACTTATACCTATTATCTTGTAAGCAATTGACAAACCAAATAAAATAAAATAAATAAATAAAAAGTAAGTGAAATATAAATGGCTTCACTATTCATCCATTCAGTTTCTTTAATTAAACTTTAATTTTAATTAGTTCCGTAGTTTTGAAGTTTTTAGTTTTCTGGAATTTTTATAATTTTTGTCTTATCATATTTTAATTCTAGTCATTGCCTTCTAATTTAGCTAATTTCCTAACCTCTACGTTTATGGTGGTCGGGGACAGTATACTGCAAAGTAAAGAAACAGTTCCTCAAATCCATTTTATTTCAGTCTGTTGAGTGGGATTCTACTGCTAACTGAGTAGACTCCTAGTAGGCTAGAGCTGAGTTGGAAGTGAGGTTTTTCTTTTTTTAAATCTTAGTGACAATATACTAAACAACTATCAGAATGAAACTCTGGACCTAAAACCCATGAAGGAACATAAAATATGCCCTCCCAAAGACAGAGATTATCGTAGTGGTGAGATTCAATTTTTTTTTACTACTGGTTCTGTGGGCGTGGCTTGGTGGGCGTGGCAGGGGAAGGATATTGTAAAATCTCCAGTCAGAGGTGGTATTTGCTGGTTCTCTGAACTACTCAAAATTTCTGCTACCAGTTCTCCAGAACTGGTCAGAACCTGCTGAACACCCACCTCTGGATTATCGGAATGAGGTAGGCCAGTGTGACATCTTCAGAAAGATGACTCAGACAGGTGTCATAAAATGAGGCAAAATTCACTTAACAAATGTCTCGCTTAATAACAGAAATGTTGGGCTCAATTGTGATCGTATGCTGAGGACCACCTGTATAAAAAAGAGAAAG